AGTGAAAATTAGAGGATAAGATGTGTTATCACGCTATTAGGCAAGGTTTAGCAGATTGTGTTTTGCGTGGGTTGATTTTTCTGCAATGAACAAACACTACTGGGTCATCTAATGAGGAGAGGGCGCTTTATTTCCACACATTTCTCACTCCAATAATGCCAGTAAAGGACTCGTGACTCATCCAAAATGAAGCTAAATAGGCGTAAAACTAAAAGAAAGAGAGAATGTTATATTTTATAATTCACGCGCATTATCGTGTTTTAAGTGACCCTTAAAAATGTAATCCATACACTGTAGTGGTGTTTTTTATGTAGGCCGGATATGGTCGTAACTCAATCATTTGTTCGTTGTAAATCTCATAATTTGGTTATGGCAATAAAAGCAATTGTATTTTCAGCAAGGACATCAATATTTGGTCTAAAAACAATCTATTGAAATGGCCTATATAAACATGATCTAACCAAATTTTTTACCAATATATCTAGAAGAACTTTGAGCTTTTGCTTTAAAATATATTCAGACTTTTCGACAAACACATTTCCCACAGCGCCGCATTCTCAAAATAAATGTATCTCTGCATTTAAATGTTGATAAGACTGGTAATGTTCACAATGATTTGTATGGCCAACGATACGATAGGAATTCAACTCTGCAAAATCATACGTGCTTATATTGTAAATGTTAATTTAAAAAACACATTTTTGTAAATGAACGCGGGTGGCCAGAAAGCCATTTGACTACTTGCACTTTAGTAAATGGTTAAATACATGCAGCCTATGTCTCTTTTTGTTGGTAGTTACCAAATGCGTGTATTCTGCTGGAAAGTTGATGTTAAAGACTTTAACATCACCGAACGAGGATGGACTTTTTGCCTGTTCCCAATTTCATAGCCGGAATCTGAAATATATCCTTAAATAAATGTGTAAAAGACTGAGAGGTGGCAAGAGGTCAGAGAACAAAGCCAGCCATCACTGCTGATGTTCCTGGGTTTGAATCATAACAGCCTTTCATTAAAGACTATTTCTGCTAAAAAAAAGAAGTGCCTTTGCCTGAAACATCGCCTATTACACGTGTTGCTTTCATGATGGAATTATTGACGAATGTGTCTTTTGTATGCACCACCGCCAATGCAGTATCACACAAAACTGCATGTGTGATGAAAACAGGTTCTCGGATGTCGTGAGTTGATGGTGTTACGTTGGTCACAAATACATGCACAAAAAAACACCATCGCGTTAAGTTTATTTTCGTTTGACCGTCATGCGACAAACAATCTCATGGCATTTGTAAAGAGGGTATTGGGGATTGTGTGAGCCCCAAGAAGTGAAGAATGAGAAGGGTCATTGAATAGTTTATTGGGAGAAGTATGTTAAAATTAAGTCTTCTGCAGGCATTCTCGGACACACAGGTTCACTGTCCTGCAAACTGTCCAAACGGGCCCTCTGTCTCATTAACGAATGACACTGGGGGAAAAGACACACTTTAAAAGGAAAAAAAATATTGTAATTCCTGCCCTTAAAGAACTTTGTTCATTCTAGCATCCTTTAAAAAGTGATAATGAATCCCAATAGTCTCACTGCTGGTGTTTCTTGCGAGAGATAATGAACCTCAAAGGGCTTCAATTGAAATAGAACACCAATGATAATTATTTCTTAGAATTCTGCTATTTATAAGCTCTTAAGGAGGCGTGGCTGTTTGTGGGGTGATGTGTGCTCATCATTTTATGACATGTGCGTGGACATCGCCTCCTCTTGTATATTGTCAATGAACCGGACTTATTCGGGCGTTGTCTCTTATATATTTGCTATTGTATTGATTTCACATGTCAATGTAAAACCTGTTCATCGGGAAACTGTTCTCAAATGTAATAGCCCAATGCTCTAGTGCGGTCTCCAACACTTCGTATCCACTCTGTCTCTCTGGCCAATTTGCTCTCTATCAAGAAGGGCAATCATCCAAAACGTCACCAATTATATATTTCCCTTCAAGGTCCAAGTGAACATGACAAATGTGTTGGATTCGTTATTTGTGCATTTGCACCACTGCATTTGCACCACTGCCAACACAATATTACGAGATACCTTGTTCAATACGTCGATTGACATATATAGCGTGTACGTGTGACCAAATTTGAAGATGCTGGACGGGCCTTCAGTTGACATTTATAGAGAGGGGCAGTCAGTCATGGGCAGTAATGAAAGGGAATGTCTTGAGACTGGACTGAAACATGGGCAGGGAGCCAACAGCATACAGGGGTGTTCCAGACAGGAAAAATACTGATACCCCGCTCAGCAAAAGTTGACTGTGGGATTTGACAGAAAACATTGGTTGCTGGAGTGGATAGTTCGTGGATGAGGGTAGAGTGAGATTGGAGGGGACAGGTGGGAGAGTGCGTGGAGGGGAGTAGAGTGAGATGAGAGGGGGGAGAGTGCGTGGAGGGGAGTAGAGTGAGATGAGAGGGGGGAGAGTGCGTGGAGGGGAGTAGAGTGAGATGAGAGGGGGGAGAGTGCGTGGAGGGGAGTAGAGTGAGATGAGAGGGGGGAGAGTGCGTGGAGGGGAGTAGAGTGGGATGAGAGGGGAGAGGTGGGAGAGTGCGTGGAGGGGAGTAGAGTGAGATGAGAGGGGAGAGGTAGGAGAGTGTGTGGAGGGGAGTAGAGTGAGATGAGAGGGGGGAGAGTGCGTGGAGGGGAATAGAGTGAGATGAGAGGGGAGAGGTAGGAGAGTGTGTAGAGGGGAGTGGAGTGAGATTAGAGATGAGAGGTAGGAGAGTGCGTGGAGGGGAGTAGAGTGAGATGAGAGGGGAGCGGTAGGAGAGTGTGTGGAGGGGAGTAGAGTGAGATGAGAGGGGGGAGAGTGCGTGGAGGGGAATAGAGTGAGATGAGAGGGGAGAGGTAGGAGAGTGTGTAGAGGGGAATGGAGTGAGATTAGAGATGAGAGGTAGGAGAGTGCGTGGAGGGGAGTAGAGTGAGATGAGAGGGGAGAGGTAGGAGAGTGCGTGGAGGCGAGTAGAGTGAGATGAGAGGGGAGAGGTAGGAGAGTGCGTGGGGGGGAGTAGAGTGAGATGAGAGGGGAGAGGTGGGAGAGTGTGTGGAGGGGAGTAGAGTGAGATGAGAGGGGGGAGAGTGCGTGGAAGGGAGGAGAGTGAGATGAGAGGCGGGAGAGTGTGTGGAGGGGAGTAGAGTGAGATGAGAGGGGAGAGGTAGGAGAGTGTGTAGAGGGGAGTGGAGTGAGATTAGAGATGAGAGGTAGGAGAGTGCGTGGAGGGGAGTAGAATGAGATGAGAGGGGAGAGGTAGGAGAGTGCGTGGAGGCGAGTAGAGTGAGATGAGAGGGGAGAGGTAGGAGAGTGCGTGGAGGGGAGTAGAGTGAGATGAGAGGGGTGAGGTAGGAGAGTGCGTGGAGGGGAGTAGAGTCAGATGAGAGGGGGGAGAGTGCGTGGAAGGGAGGAGAGTGAGATGAGAGGCGGGAGAGGGCGTGGAGGGGAGTAGAGTGAGATGAGAGGGGAGAGGTAGGAGAGTGTGTAGAGGGGAGTGGAGTGAGATTAGAGATGAGAGGTAGGAGAGTGCGTGGAGGGGAGTAGAGTGAGATGAGAGGGGAGAGGCGGGAGAGTGCGTGGAGGGGAGTAGAGTGGGATGAGAAGGGAGAGGTAGGAGAGTGTGTGGAGGGGAGTAGAGTGACATGAGAGGGGAGAGGTAGGAGAGTGCGTGGAGGGGAGTAGAGTGAGATGAGAGGGGAGAGGCGGGAGAGTGCGTGGAGGGGAGTAGAGTGACATGAGAGGGGAGAGGTGGGAGAGTGTGTGGAGGGGAGTAGAGTGAGATGAGAGGGGGGAGAGTGCGTGGAGAGGAGTAGAGTGAGATGAGAGGCAGGAGAGTGTGTAGAGGGGAGTAGAGTCAGATGAGAGGCGGGAGAGTGCGTGGAGGGGAGTAGAGTGAGATGAGAGGGGGGAGAGTGCGTGGAGGGGAGTAGAGTGAGATGAGAGGGGGGAGAGTGCGTGGAGGGGAGTAGAGTGAGATGAGAGGGGGGAGAGTGCGTGGAGGGGAGTAGAGTGAGATGAGAGGGGAGAGGTAGGAGAGTGTGTAGAGGGGAGTAGAGTGAGATGAGAGGGGGGAGAGTGCGTGGAGGGGAGTAGAGTGAGATGAGAGGGGGGAGAGTGCGTGGAGGGGAGTAGAGTGACATGAGAGGGGAGAGGTGGGAGAGTGTGTAGAGGGGAGTAGAGTCAGATGAGAGGCGGGAGAGTGCGTGGCGGGGAGTAGAGTGACATGAGAGGTAGGAGAGTGCGTGGAGGGGAGTAGTAAGATGAGAGGGGAGAGGTAGGAGAGTGCGTGGAGGGGAGTAGAGTGAGATGAGAGGGGGGAGAGTGCGTGGAGGGGAGTAGAGTGAGATGAGAGGGGAGAGGTAGGAGAGTGTGTAGAGGGGAGTAGAGTGAGATGAGAGGGGAGAGGTAGGAGAGTGCGTGGAGGGGAGTAGAGTGAGATGAGAGGGGGGAGAGTGCGTGGAGGGGAGTAGAGTGAGATGAGAGGGGAGAGGTAGGAGAGTGCGTGGAGGGGAGTAGAGTGAGATGAGAGTGGAGAGGTGGGAGAGTGCGTGGAAGGGAGTAGAGTGAGATGAGAGGGGAGAGGTAGGAGAGTGCGTGGAGAGGAGTAGAGTGAGATGAGAGGGGAGAGGTAGGAGAGTGCGTGGAGGAGTGAGACGAGATTGGAGGCGGACGGCTTATTGGGTACACTTTGTAAAAGCGCCGCGAGGGGAGGGGGGGATCGACGAGCGGGGGGTCGAGGGGGCGGGGCTGGGGGGGAGTGGGGGCGGGGCTGGGGGAGATGGGGGCGGGGCTGGGGGGGATGGGGGCGGTTTTGGGGGGGATGGGGGCGGGGCTGGGGGGGATGGGGGCGGGGCTGGGGGGGATGGGGGGGATGGGGGCGGGGCTGGGGGGGATGGGGGCGGGGCTGGGGGGGATGGGGGCGGGGCTGGGGGGGATGGGGGCGGGGCTGGGGGGTGGTTCCCGTCTTCAGTCTCCGCTGTCTCTCACTGCCGCTCAGAGCTCGCGGTGCCCGAGAACCGAGGGGGAGGAAATCGCGGCCGCTCGGCCGGACGCTGCGGGACGACGGCTCGGGACGGGGAGGTCCCCGCGGGGCCACGGAGAGCCTCGGCCGGCACCGGCGTTAGGCGAGAGCGGCGCTGGACTCACGGCCGCTACGTCCGAACCGAAGGGGCTAGGAAGGGGCCGTCGAGATAGCTGTTCGAGAGCTCCTTTGACGGACGAATCGCCCGTTTAGCGCTGCGGGTTTTTTATTTATTACGATCGTGACAACATCGCGCCCGCCGAACGCGCCGACGACGATGCGGGACTTGCTTCTGATCGCGGCGGTGGCTGCTGCGGCGATGGTGTGCGAGGCGGTGAGCGGCCTGGCCGAGGTGCGTGTTGTGTGCGTTGTGTGTGTGTTACTGCGCGCGACTGACGCACTACTTTCGACTCGATCACCGTAATTACCGTAGAGCGGGGGCACTGGCAGGGCCCCCGCGGCTGCTGCCGCACCGGCGGCGGTCGTTAAGCGCTGCGCCGCGTCTCGAATGTGTTCGGTAGTAGCGGCTCCGGCTTTGGCTTGACCCCAACACGTGTTCGGCCGTGGGTTTAAATTGCACTTCGGGTCTTCTTCCTACCCTCCTCCGTTATGCCGAGGGTACACGTTGCTTCGAGTGTGTACGGCGTTTGAGATAACAGCTGCTACGTGTGGCATTCGGTTGCGAGTCGCGTTGAACGCTTAAAAAAACTAATTTGTAATGCGCACAAATTTTATTTTTTTTGCGGTTTAGACTGAGCGACCGAAAGATGAACGCGGTTGTAATTGGGCAATTAGCGCAGGTTGGTTAATGGCGTTCGAAATTAAGTGAGTGGGGAGTTATGGTGGCCAGGGACAAGGGATGATGATGATGGTGGTTGTGGTGAAGATTGACGGGAGTGGAACGCGCCCGAGAAGATGGGAGCTGTCGTTTGCACATGCTTGGCACGGGTTGTTACTTAGCCGAAAATCGTTAGAGGTGGCCCACGTCTGCTTGGGGGAGGAGTGCCTTCATCCAGCAGTGGATTGACCACGGCCGATGATGATCATGCTGGTGATAGTTCAAAACACGTGCGTTTGTATTTAGCCGAGCATTGGATCCAATCGCGCGTTCACAAATGAGAGGTATTGCCTGTGTGGCAGTGATGCGATGGCGTTGCTGCTGTTGGTCCAGCCTTTGAATTTGAATCGTAAAATTGTGCATGTTGAGAAATACGCAGTTTGAAACCTCTCGTCCCTTTGTTGACGGATGCCGGCGCGCTAATTGTATAGTGCTTAATGTGCGTGCTGCTTTCACCAACCCGCAGTTTATCGCAAGGCTGTTGTGTGATCATTTCATTTCATTGCTGTAATTACATCGATGAAGGGACGGTGCTTTATAATTCAACCACGCATCGGGGAGTGTGGGAGGAGGATGAGGATGAGGTGGGGGGGGTAAATGGCCAAATTGGTTGTGAGTTGGTTAGAAATTTTCGTTCACCAATTGCCGCCTTGCATCCATTGTTGAGGCGGGTAAATTGTACGGAGTTGCCGAGTACATTCTGATGGACGTACTAAGAACGAAAGTACCATCGATTACACAAATTGTAATTGCCACCATTGTTGCCTTTGTCATTTTTGGCGCATCCTTGTCTCGCGATGTCCCATCTGGTTCAACAAAATAAGCTCTGAAAAGTGGAGCGTGACTTAAAATTCAGATGCCCCGTGAAAAGTTGACCGAAAATTCTGGATTAATATTCTTTTGTACGTCTCTCAACGGGATTCCACGCAAGTGTGTATGGAGCTCTCTTGCCAATAACATTCACTGGCGGAGCCATTGGGGGGGGTGGCACGTGCCCCCCCAATAATCTGATCGAAATCCCTTCTTTCGATCGGATCATTGGGGTTTATTCGTAATTAATCGTTATTTTGCGACTGCCACTGTGTAGCATATTATTTTATGCCAGGGACTTTATGAGATGATAGGACAATAGTCTGAGTCCATAATTGGCAACAAGTAACGGCAAAGCAGTTCTCAGTGACTCAGACTTGTGCGCAGTCGCGTATACATTACACGACTTCTCTGAAGGCATTCACCTTCAGCGAGCGCGATGCCGATCACACAACGCGGTTCGAATTCGACCCTGGATCGATGGCTGCGCCATCGCCGCACACGCGTCGAATAAAAAGCAAGGGACAAGTCCTTACTTACTAACAACTCCTCTATCATTTTTCATTGCTGGAGGGGTTGCCCCCCACTACCTGAAATTCCTGGCTCTGCCATTGATAACACCTGGTAACGACAGAATGTATTTAACACGACCGACACAGAATTTCGAAATATTTCCAGTGCTTGTCTCGACAAAAAAAAATTGCTGCCTTTGAGAACTTTGGTCTGAAAAGCCCAGCAGGGCTCAATTGACGTACATTAGCGTTCACATTTGTAGACACAAATGGCAGTCGTGCGCTTAAGGCGCAAGTTTCCACAGCTAAATTGTCATCCAAATGCGACCTGGGTTGGGCTTGCGTGCTCAGCATTTAATTCTCTCAAGCTTCTGAGCCACACACCCACTGGGAAGCCGGAATTGTTCAGGAATTTAAGAATTCACTATTGAGAAAATAATTTCCCAGCACGCAGCAGCCCAACCTGAAAAACCGCACCTTGGGAGAGTTTGCCCCTTTGTTCTCCGGGGGAGAATGAGTGATGTCGCACGCACAGTGATAGCCAAAACAAGCAGGCTGATGTTTTCCTTAAAAGTGAACCATTACTACACGCTACATTCTACTCCCAGTCTGTATAAGCAATTGACATTTGTATTCAAGAAAGATGAATAATTGGTTCTTCTGGCAGGAGTATATATAAGTCTAACCTTTTTTCATTAATGCTGTAGCAGAGAAATGTGTACCCCATAAAGGTTAACACTCAGCTCGTACTGTATACAATTTTTCTCGGTGGATCTTTTGCTCTAAACAGGGACCATTGTCTAAAATGTTGGCTTGTTATCGTGCCTGTATATACGTGTTCTTTTTTTTATCAAAGAGCCCGTATGAGGGGCAGACTCACTGGCCATAATTCACCGCGCTGGTCGGTGCAGGTTGGCGAATGCGGCAGGCATATACGTGGGAGGGCATCGTTGTATAGTGCGGCAGTGACTTTGTACTACCAACACCATTGCCCTATAACACCCATTTTGTGTGTGGCGGTCCCCCATCTGAGCACTCTCTAAGCTTAACCTTCCTTAGCTTCCCAGGTCTGACAAGATTGAACGAGGTGAATTCTCGGCGTTCATTGTCAATTTTAGTCTGCACCGTGCGCGTCCCGTGAGATGAACTCGTGGAACCCTCCTTCCCGCCTTCTCCATCGTCCCACCTCCAGGTCGGCTCCGTGCGCATCCCGCTGAGGACGGAGCGCTTGGTGTCTCGCCGCCTCGCCGCCGGCCCCACCGCATACAATCGGCACGTCCAGCCGAGGGCCGTCGCCCTGCAGGAGGAGCTGGTGGGGGTGGTGCCGGCGAAGGCGTCGCCGCGGCCGCCCGAGGATGGGGACGCGCTGGCGTTGGGAGCCGAGGCTGTGGACGTCCCCGGCATGCTGGACAACCTGCGAGGGAAACCTGGGCAGGGATACTACATCGAGATGGCCTTGGGCACCCCACCCCAGATGGTAACACTCGCTTGCGCAATCGCTCGCGGCGCTCCCTGGCTCGCGCCTATCGCTGAACCGCTCGCAAACTCGTTTACTCGCTCGCTCGCTCGCTCCACTCGCGCTTATTTACGTGCCTGCTCGCTCAATCGCCTGCTCGCTCGGGGCCAGCAGTGGAGGAGTTCTGTTGTCAATCCTTGTTTCCATTTTAACGCCAGTCATATGTCGGTTGTATCGTGTTCGGAGAAAATAAATGTCCTCCTAGAATTCTCGCTTCCAGCGGAGCAGAGTATAATAACGGTGTTATTTATGCTGGAAAACCTTCCTGTGTCTCAACACTCCGTGTTCAGGCGTTTCCTGCTTTGGAATATTTGGCCAATTACATGTTGAGGGTGATGTGTATGTTGTGTGGGAATACGCTCAAGTACCCAGAGAAATCCCACTATTAACAAGGGAACAGCTCCATTTGCTGTTTTGCCAACTCCTGTGCAATACACCAACCAGAGAACGCACTGGATTACATGTGTGCGGGACAACGTCATGTGAAGCGGTGGTCGGTGAAGATGGCACCACGTAAGTTTGTGGCGCCATTTAATTGGAACTTCGTACAGAAGTGTGCGAGGCTGCTGTGGTGTTGTCAAGGTTAGTGCACTGGACTTGCAATCCGGTGGTTGCCAGCTTGATTCTGTCTTCCGACGTGGCAGTTGAAACAATTCTAGATTTGAAGCTTTCGTGACTGCAAGGATTCATATTCTTAGGTTTGTTCGGTAAAGTCACGTAGGTAAAACATCGAAATTAATTAAAATAAAATAAAGATCACGACATTTCGGAGACAACACAAGTCTCCGTCATCAGGTGGGACCGTCACAACTCGCTTTTAAGGGATTACATCTTGAATCATTGCCTCACTTGATGCAGCTAATCTGGCTGTGACGGTCCCACCTGATGACGGAGACTTGTGTTGCCTCCGAAACGTCGTGATCTTTATTTTATTTTATTTTTATAAATTTTGATGTTTTACCTACGTGACTTTACCGAAAAAACCTAAGAAGTTGAAACAATGATGCAAGATTCGTCAATCCATCAACGTGTCCGCCCAACAAGTATAAATGGGTGTGCCACAGTTCGTCGATCAGCAGGTTGCACGTGGTGGGGTAAAGTGTGGGTGTTCCCACATCTTCCAAGACATCTGGTCATCGTGGAAGAGTAGACCAAAATAGCCTCTAGAGGGGATCTCAGGTGCTCCCTCGAGTGGAGACGTTTCTGCCAGCAGTGGCACGGGCAAAATATTGTAGTGCTGCACCTTTAGCCTCAACTATATCCGTGTGCTTCTCTTCACTATAAGTAATGTTTCCTGCCTGTCAGTCATCGAATGCTTTACAAACTTGAATGTATAGCTATTGTATAATTGGCACATATTTGTCTCCAAGATGTAGGTAATGTTTGTCCCATTTGTACTATTTTGGTTCATTCCAGCCTTCACATGAATTGAAATTCACACTGCCACTGCTTTTCATTTTATTCATGACACTCATATAAGACAGATATTTAACTTGAATTCTGGGTAATGTGCATGACCTGTGAACTGCATGTCCCTTGCTATAGACTAAAATCCTTCGTTTATTTTTTAGATTTCAAACATTCGGTTAGCTTCTCCCTCACTGTTGTAATTCTCTACCTCTTTATCTTCTTAAGGCAGCAGACATTTGTTGACCTAACTAATTCACTCCGTGTGTATTCATAATGTGTACACGGTGCTAATCTTATCCAAAGGAAGACATGACAAAAGTAAACTATGCTTGTACAAGTGGGGTGAGAATCTGGAATGGTCCTATTGTATTTAACCTGTTTTTAATGGGCCCTGCATGTTTTGGTTGTGGGCTTTGAGCCTCAATAAAAGTGTACGACGTTCTTTCGCTGTGCTTTCGTGAGAGCCAAAATACTGTGTTTTATATTCTACTTGTTTTAAATGTGTCAGTTTTCTAAGCAAGCCACAGTTATATAAACTAGGAACATAGCCCTCATCAGAAAGTGTCTTCCCATTAACATCTGACAGTTCATCAGATTTGGTTGTAAAGCAAGGATGACTACTGATGAGACACTGAAGGTTGCAGCCGGTTCCGAGCTTGCTTGTATTCGGCCAATGCTGCTGATAGGATTCACTCCCAGAAGACTCTGTGACCAGCAGAGTTGTGGCAGAAATACATTTCAGTGAATGGACAAATATATAAGGAGGCAATATTTATTTAGGACGTGAGTCATCTCATTACACAGGTCCTCTCTTTATTGCATAGTAAACATAATCAGAACTCTATTCTGTGTTTCATACATGAATAAATTGTGTTTGTGTCCATCAGCCTATCAGCTTCCTAGATCTAGAAGCAGCGTTTCTTTACGTACGCAAACCCGGCACCGTTTTGACCTATTGGGTCTCATTGGCAGTCAAGCTTGTTAAAAACAAATTTTGCCGGATTACCAGACAATGTTGGCAAGAGCACTCCATGTAAAATGACTGACTGGACAGTATTTGAGTGACGTATACAGTCGCTGTGATCTTTTGCACGAGTGTATGGATACTTGTACATTTAAAATGTTTTTTTTTTTAAGCCATAACACGCAGCACAGAATGATTTGAAATGTTCCACTCTTGACAATATGGTGACTCAAAATTTGTATAAATGTTGTTGAACATTCAGTGGAGGAGCGGAGTGGTGACAGTAATTAGCCCTCTGGAATAGAAATGCTACGAACTATATTTAATTGTCGGCCACGGCTAACTGCAGTGACGAGCACTATCTCAACCAATCCTGGGGTCCCCCCTTGAACCTGCATGACCAGGGTGGTGAAGTATGGTCAAACAACCCTTTACGCCCAACTCAGAATGAGTCGGTGGATTGACAAAGGGCCATGCATTATAAGACGGAAAAAGTGCCGAAAATACTATTGGGTCAAATATGGTTACATACTTTAACCCATGAATATAGACGTTAAAAATACAATATTATGCAATCACGGTGAAGTTAAATGAATACATTTACATAGGTATGCAATATATTTGTTATTTTGACCTGCCCCGACTAGACAACTGTGAAAAAGAGCTTTGTAGTTCATCGGATTCCTCCAGTGTGAATAAATATTCCGATTCTGATTTGTATGCCACAATGAGGTGCACATTTGTGACCACCTTGCAGTGCGCAACATTTACTTGATTGTAAGAAGCCGTACGCGGAATTGGCGTGCGTTTCCCGGTGTTTATAAGCCCCGATTTTCAAGGGGACTGGACGGACCGATCCGCAAGAGTGCATTACATTGATTAGTATGGAATGCTGCTGTGCAGTGATGTAACCATCCCTAAAGGGCAATTTTCCATGCAAAGGCAAATTACTTAAATTGCCACTCTTTGAGCAACATTTCTAGCACAAAGGTTCTTCTGGGTTTTTTTGGCATTGGCCGAACCTGGCAAAAGAACACGCGGCACGGTCACGTGGGAAAAAAGAGACACTGCTTATTAGAGTGTTTTCGACCAGCTTTTAAGAGTCGTGAAAAACAATATTACAGTCATTCCTATGTGAGGCCACATTTTTCTGCCTTGAGTCACAGGATGCTGACTTGGAGCATTCCTGAGTTGTGCATTGTCAAGTTTATCCTTACACAGCAATGGGTCTGTAGTGTTACAGTAGTGTGGGCTCATCGCAATGTGACTTTTTTACCTTTTTCCACGTTTGAATATGGTCTCATGTTTGACTTCTCGTTGCCGTCTATTTAATCGTCCCCGTATCTTACGACCAAGAGCTTTGTCCCTCCACTTCCCGTGCAAGTTGTGCTTAGAATTCGTTTATAAGATACGTAAAAAAAACATTCACTCTTAAAAAACGACGATAAACAGATGTGGGGCATTTGCTGTAATTAATCTGCAGTCGCAATATACACGTCCTGGATTTTTCTAAACTAAACATGCACCGATATGCCGAGGTTATTTTGTTTTTATTGCATGTCAAGTTAAAGCTTTAGCATGCTCGTATTTGCCTTTCTCTCTCGACAGACCTGCAATGGGAAAGTCTGGTTTTAAATTTAGAAATGCTATTTTGCTTATCGGTCGATCTGATAATTCCCTGTAGATGTGCTTCAGGCAGCTGGTTGCCCTGCCACCAGCAGGGAATGCTTTGGTAGTGTTTAGGGTGATAAAGGTTGTCCCACATCAATCGGTACGGCTTAAACCCAGCTTCTCATCATTGTACTTATTGGGAGGAGAAAATCATTGACCCGGTGGACTTCATATCCACTGTGGTGCTCAGTAATAGAAATCATCAGGAGAGGAAAATTATCAGCTCAATCAATATCCTACGCATGGTTGCCTTCACCAAAAGGAAGTCTTACCAATGTAATTGCTCCACTCCAGCACAATACATCTGGAGGGGCCCAATCCAATTTTTCATACACCGGTGACCAATGGAGATTCTAAGTGCCTTTTTCAATGGGAGTAATGCACTTGGCGGTGTTCCCTTTAAGCAATGCTGGTTAAGATATGTGCTTTCATATGGCTTTGAGATTATGCAAAGGGTCTTTTGGTGAGACTGAGCATGTACATCTGTCCAGTGTGTCTGTGTGTGTGTGGCACGATGCATATTTTTCTATGTTGGTTTTGGTGTAAAAAAAAACGACTTGCTTAAATTTTAATGAGCTATATATTTGTACATGACTTGACATTTTACACACACGAGTATAAATGGTGCAGATGACAAGGATATTAAGTATCCGGTTACACCTTAGTGGAATTCACAGCACTCAAATTCCATCAACACAGCCACAATGCATATATATCAAAGTCTTCTTTATAGCACGTTCACCAAGGCGATATTCTTTCCCATGTCCCTTATGTTGTCTTTAAAACAAGGTTATTATCATCACCGTCTTCCAAGATGTCGGGCCAGTGTGGAAGAGTAGGCCAAAGATACACTATCGGGGCTCACTAGGGCTCCCTCTGGTGGAGGTTTTTCTGTCTGCAGTGGTGGGAGCAGGCAATTGCAGGGCTGCACCCTTTTCTTTTAACGTATATCATCATCATCATCAAACTATAAACTGTGGGTTCACGGATTGTAAGTGGTTGTTTTTCTCATTTTCCCAGTATTTGAGCATCATCTGGCACCAGTGCAGTAAATGGGTGAGGGCATTATGCGAAGGCATGTGATCCGCAGTCATGAGGTCCATGGCTTGTCGGCAGCCACCTGATTCGTCCCTAGCTGAGGAATGTGTGACCCCCCCCCCCCCCCTCTGGTGAGCGTGGCCCCGCGAAATTTTTCGTGGCAGCACAAAATGCGCGTGGCCGCTGAGCCACGCTTGCGAGTCCGTGAACGACATCTCGTGACATTTGAATGAGGTGGCCCTGTCAGTTGGAATTGCAGTCCGCGGTCACTGCCGGGTTGACCGCACGGCCCCGGTATATTTAATGGGCTGCGGTGTATTGCGTTGCGCCAGAGGGGTTGATCGGGGGTTTTTTTCGGAAATGTATACGGAGTTTAAAAGGAGAGGCAATTTTAATGTAAGAGCGTTATTGAATGTGGGTGAGGGTTAAAAGCCTCGATGAGGGTCAGTTCAGCCAGCCCTCTCATTCCTCCGGGGTTAACAAAAGTAGATTCTTTGTGGGGAGTTAACAGTATTTAGTCTTTTTTTATTAAAGACTCAACCTCTGCCTTGGGAATGTGGAATTGCCATCACTGGATTTAAACTGGAGATGAGCACTGCCATATGTTGAATTTTGCAGCAAATCACCTTGTTTAATGTTCGTGTGTACATAATCCATGCATTTGACTGTCTAAAATGATTTTCCCGTCCCATCAAACCTTGGTCCTGGATAGCGCCTGGATAGGTGACCCCATCGGTGCATATGACAGAGGGCAGTGCAGCAAAATACATTGTTGTACTGTACTTCTGTGCTCCCACATGTATATTCCCTATCTTAAACCTGCACTGAGCAGCATGGTGGAGTACAGCCAATAAATTCCCATGATCCTCAGTATTGTTGAAGCCCTTACCTAGCAGTGCATTTACAGAGGACTGCGTGGAGGATCTGTATGTACTCGCTGTATGTATGTGTGTAAAAAAGGTCATGTAAAGGTGCAGACCTGCAGTTCCTTGTTCATGCCACTGCTGGTTGATTGGCCTCCACCAAATGTTTGTCTTTTTTATATATATAGATGTAAAACATAGGTAATGCGTGCATGCCCGGGCAGTGGTGGCCAACACCTGTAATCCAGTACTGTGGAGGCGAGGGTTGGTTGATCGCAGAAATGTTGTGAAACTCCCTTCCAATGGGTTTCGAGGTGCCATGCCCCGGCTTGCTAGGAGAAGACGATACAGTAAAGTATAAACTAACATCTGTCCCTTCTGTATTGGATAGAATATTGCCCCTTAGCACGCGTGGATTTTTATGCAGGTGCTCGGGTTTCCTCCCACGCGAATATACACACCTTAATTCGATGAAAAAACCTTGATATATAGAGCACTGCAGAGCTTGTGAATATTTTGGCGCCAGCTAACCGCAATATTGCCTTTTTCATCTTGTCTGTGGTTCCTTAGTGATCGTCAGATTTGTATCAATGACGCCATATACATTTTCACGAATGACGCGATTATAATTATGCAGCTGAAACATGTTTATATCTCCCTCGCCAAAGGGGTGTACTGTGTCACGCTGGGCTGCCACCTGCTCGCGCAACGAAGAAGTGCAGGCACCTGCCACTTCAAAATGAAACTATCACCACGGCCTCTTTGTCTCTCCCCACGCTTGCAGCTGAACATTCTGGTGGACACGGGCAGCAGCAACTTCGCCGTGGGCGCTGCACCCCACCTCTTCCTCAAGCGCTACTACCGCCCCGAGCAGTAAGTGCCGTCGGGCATTGTGGTTCAATCTCGGCCTGCGTAAAAGGTGCTCCGCTACTGGTATTCTTGTGCGCTTGCATGCACGTGTAACTTAATATGAAACGTGCAAATATAAATGCACACTTAAGCCAGTTTGACCTTTGAGCAATCGCGATGTAGGGAAGGTAACACAATTTGCATACCCTGCTTTTGCCATGCGTGCATCAGATATCGACTCCTCTTGTGTAACCCCCGACGCCTACGCAAATTGTGTGACAGGATGCACAGTAAAGCCTCTCGAAGCCAGACTGATTGGCGAGATATTCATTTCAATTTAAAGAGGATGTCTGGCATGCTGGAAAAAAAAAGATGATGACGTTATGAGTGACGATGATTGTGCAGGTGTTTATGGTTCTGTATTGGTGATTGTGCCGGTGTTGGTGATGCCTCTGGTTTTTGCTAACAGTGTTGACTGCGAGTGATAACACCGATGCTGATTATCATGGATAATGGCGTTGCAGGTCGTGATAATAACATCATAATAATTAAATATGACGCCTTCCGCTGTTGCGCAGAGCCTTGAGATACCATCGCATCCCGACGCTTGTAAAGCGACGCCCTGCCGCGTTGTGTGCCACCGCCTACGCCGCAGGTCATCGACGTACCGGCCGAGCAGCTCCAGCGTGTACGTGCCGTACACGCAGGGCAACTGGCAGGGAGACCTGGGCACGGACCTGGTCTCCGTGCCACACGGTGGCAACTCCAGCGTCCGCGCCAACGTGGCCGCCATTACCTACTCCAACAGCTTCTTCATTAACGGCTCCAACTGGGAGGGCATCCTGGGGCTCGCCTACGCCAACATCGCGCGGGTAACGACGACGACGATGATGATGATGATGGTGACGATGGTTTGTTTTAGAGCCGCTCTCCTTCGCGATGAGCGACTTGCATCACACGTCATCTCGGTGCATTTGTAAGGGCACCCCCCAGGTGTTCGTTATGCCTGTGTGGCACAATCACCTGGCCTGCACGGCACAGTAAAATCCTCGTTTTTAACGCGTGGCGTTCACGCGACGCGTTTTCGCTTGAGCGTGTTTTTTTCCTTTGTACGGACCGTTTTTAAGCTTAACGCTCACCGCGCCCGCTATGACGCGAGTCTAGCTCGCGTGAGGGGCTACTTTTTCTGAGCTGCTACGTGGGTGTCGGCTGCGAGGTTCAGTGCCTTCCTCGTCCTCGCTCATTGTTCCGGCACCTTTGTGTGCGTGGCGTCATCGTTTCGTACGATCTATCGCCTTCACTCCCTTTTTCACTCGCCATATCTCTCGCACCTTTTGTATTTAATGAAATGCCTGTCGGACATAGCATTTTTTTTTATACCGTATAAACACGACACTTTTAAAAAGAAACATGTAAAAGAATGTACTGTTAAATAAGAACAAGAATAAACTCACGGGCTGGAATGGCCACCGAAACTTTACCAGTGTTCCTTGTGGGAAAATTCGTTTGACGCGAATTCGCTTTACGCGGCTGTTTGCAGGAACGCAACTTCCGCGTCAAGTGGGGACTTGCTGCTGCTGCACTTGCAATCATCGCCAGTGGGAGGTGTTGATTGCTCATTTCAAACCCAATTGAGTGATTTGCGGGGTAATTTTTAGAATTTTCCAACTTGGACCGTGTCCCCCTCGTTTTGATTGATGTCACGTGATCAACCTCTACTGCGAAGCAGACGCATATTTGCTGTTCTATTAACCAGGGCGGCCTGCCGAGTTTAAACCGCAACAGGGGGGGTGGCCGTGGGCGTGGGGGACCACATACACATGTGGTGGTGCACATGATAGCTCTGATTATGATGATGATACCGATGGCGATAATAATAATAATGGCTGTTATTGTGACGCTGGAGGTGTTTTTTTCATGGTGATGCTTGTGTTATCGGTAATGATGATGATGATAATACCGCTGCCTATCATGCCCGTTCAGCCTGACGATTCCTTGGAGCCGTTCTTCGACTCGCTGGTGAAGCAGACGGGCATCCCCAACGTCTTCTCGCTTCAGCTATGCGGCCTCTTCCCCGACCCAAACTCCACGGACGGCACGGCCGGAGGCACTATGGTGCGCCCGGTTTGCGTGTGTTTGTGCGTGCCTCTGTGTGTGCGTCTGCGATTCTTTAGGGGAGCGGTAGTGCGGCGGTTGGCGCTCTGCGCTACGAACCCGGCGACCCGAGTTCGGTTCCCTCTCATGGGCAACACCAGTGACGATCATCTGAACTGGTCCTGGGTCCTCCCCTAGGGCGAATCGGCCTCAAATGAGAACCTGGTGTCGTGTGTGTATCCATTGGGGAGACAAAGGTAGCCAGGCATGGGTGCTGGCCACCCTCCTCTTGGTGCACCGTGCCAGCCTTAACAGGCGCTTGCTAACAGCACTTGCCCCAACAACAGTCTGTTAAAGGCTACACGGGGTGTCTCTTGTACTTATAACCCGTCAGCGCGTGCGCGATCCTTTTGCGTCCATGTTGGTTTCTGTGGGCGCTCCTTTTCGTCCACTTGCAAGAATACTCGGTATTGTAAAATTCACTTAAAAGTGTTGTAATTGAAGTGATTATTTTATGACCTGTCGTGGTGGCGCTTGGGCTAGAACGCTCGACTCAAGTTCAAGTTCATTTATTAGGTATAGCCCTGTGAGCCATTCGGCTCTTGAATAGGGTGCGCGATCCTTTTGCGTCCATGTTGGTTTCTGTGGGCGCTCCTTTTCGTCCACTTGCAAGAATACTCGGTATTGTAAAATTCACTTAAAAGTGTTGTAATTGAAGTGATTATTTTATGACCTGTCGTGGTGGCGCTTGGGCTAGAACGCTCGACTCAAGTTCAAGTTCATTTATTAGGTATAGCCCTGTGAGCCATTCGGCTCTTGAATAGGGTGCAACCGCAACAAACAAAAAACAAAAACATGAACAAGAAAACATCTTAAAGTGACTCTGTGACTATGTGCAAACTGAAAATCCAGGAATAAAAAGAGCAAAAATTCCAGAAAAAAGCACCATACACCAACGCTTTGTGCAAACATTCCAGAAAAAAGCACCGTACACCAACGCTTTGTGCAAAAATCCCAGTGGGATGCAAGTCAAACAACAACCACAAGGCAACCTAGATTAAGACTAATCAGAAGGTCAAGAGTAATCTTGGTCGAGGGCCAACTCGGCCAATCATTCCTCCTGGGTAGATACATTGATTACCACTTTATGATTGGTCAGCAGCAGTTATCACACAGAAATACTGGTGGAATTTCTGACGTGCTCTGCGCCACCGATGGAGATTTGTGCCGTCTCAGTTGCTCATTGGAGCGGAGGGCAATGCAGTTCTTCTAATGTAAAGCACGAGCATTGAGTCTGTTTTTTTTCTATAATACTTCCCCGGTGTGAATTCACTCACTGATGTCGCTCCCTCTGCGGCTATCTTTGCAGATTCTGGGTGGGGTGGACACCGACCTGTACATCGGAGACATGTGGTACAGCCCCATACGGAGGGAATGGTATTACGAGGTGATCATTGTGCGTATGGAGGTGCACGGCAGGGACCTTAAAATGGACTGCAAGGAGGTAAGCGCGCCCTACATGTGTACGTTCGTTCATTCCATGTGCCATGAAGAAGGACCATTGCCCAAAATGTTACCTAATAGATATTGTTCATATTCTTTGGTTCTTTCGGTAAAGTCACGTGGATGGAAAAAAATATAAACCAAAAACTCACGACGTTTCGATCGCAAAACAAGTGATCGTCATCAGGCGGAGAGAATAGTGGGGGGGGGGGGGTGCAAGCTTCCAACTGCAACTGTTTATAAAGGCTTGAAATGGGCGTAGACGAGCCAAAGCTGTGAGTGGGCGGGGCACAAGAGCCGTGTAGCCAGCGCTGAGCAGCGCAGTCCAAGTGTGCCAGCAGCATGGGCGGGGCAGTCAATGCTGATGTAGGAGAAGACAAAGGGGAAGAGAGAAGGGGGCAGAGACAGGAGGAGAGAGAGAGGGGGGAGAGAGGGGGGTGAGAGGGGGTAGAGTTAGGGGGAGAGAGAAGGGGGATAGAGATAGGGGGAGAGAGATGGGGTAGAGATAGGGAAGAGAGAGAGGGGGGACAGGGGGGAGAGAGAAGGGGGGTAGAGATAGGGTGAGAGAGAGGGGGGGTAGAGATGGGGGGAGAGAGAGGGGGAGAGATAGGGGACAGAGAAGGGGGGTAGAGATAGGGGACAGAGAAGGGGGGTAGAGATAGGGGACAGAGAAGGGGGGTAGAGAGAGGGGGGTAGAGATAGGGGGAGAGAGAGGGGGGTAGAGATAGGGGGAGAGAGAGGGGGGGTAGAGATAGGGGGAGAGAGAGAGGGGAGAGAGAGGGGAGAGAGAGAGGGGGTAGAGATGGGGGGCATTGCGCCTCGCTTCACACATCCACATTGCTGACAGTGGAGGTTGACAAGAAATTACAAATCAAGTCATAACCCAAAGTGGTGGATGACATCTTTCCAATGATTGCTGACTTTATAACCGTCTTCTCGGTCATCAACCACTTTTCTCTCCGCCTGATGACGATCGCTTGTGTTGCAATCGAAACGTCGTGAGTTTTTGGTTTTTATAAAAAAAATTATTATTTTTGTTTATTTTATTTTATTATTTTCCATCTACGTGACTCTACCGAAAGAACCAAAGAATATGAATTCCTGCAGTCAAGAAAATTTTAAGTCATATATTGTTCCTTTTGAGATGTTGTTGACGTTTTATTTATTTGTGTTTTGTATTTGTGCTCAGATACTGCCATTTGTTTAAGTCTTTGGAGAGTTCAATCACTGCTCCTTGTTCTATTCCGCCCATTCCACTATCATGGAATCTCTGTGCGGTGTACGTATGGGGACCCTGTGGGTTTTAATGCTTTATAATGAAAAGACTTTAATCTGGATTTGACAATAGAAATGACAGGCAATGACGACAGCAAGGAAAGACTGTACGTTGTTACCTCTCACAGTGGTTCAAAACTGTTGAAAACTTCTCACCGCTATTGACTGACTGAAGAAATCGGTCGCGTTGCGATGCCTTAGTTTGACTCGCACGGAGATATACTATTGGTCTACGGGGCAACGTGTGTTGTGTAGTCAGACTTGCTATCCGGTCGTAGAATGGCCCGTGATAGCTCAGCTCCGCGCATTCCATTGGCTGCATGGCCATGCTGGTACAAGGGTGGGATAGATATTGCAGCGATTTGTAATAAAATAACGACCCTGCTGCGTGATTTCAACTTTCGTCGGCCATTCTCTAACGGGAAGGGTTCCGCTTCTCCACGAGAGAAATCCGAACGGACACTTGGCCTCTTGATCGTGTGATGCTGTGGGAACGGATGTTTACACGTGTGCATTTTGAAGCACGTCATGTTTTCACGCCCCCTTCGCAGTACAACTACGACAAGAGCATCGTCGACAGTGGCACCACAAACCTGCGCCTCCCGAAGCGAGTCTTCAACGCGGTCGTCTCCGCCATCAAGCGCAACTCTCCCGTGGGTTTGACACGGACGCCGGTTGCGCAACGCGTGCGCGGCTGGGCACGTGTTGACTCGTACGCTCGCTCATGACGCGTGCGATCAAACCACGCCTGTAGTAGCAGTCGATTGTTTCCGAATCGTAGTTTTATTTCTAGACCACAGTTGCCGAGCACAGGCCCAAAGTCCTAAAATGGCAAAGGGCCATTTAAAGTGTAAGAGTTCGTAAGTTTTTCTGGGATTGAGCGAGGTTGTAAGAACTTTGGAAAGGAGACGACCGAAATGGATATTACAGAGCGGGGAGGAGATCTGAGGCACCTAAGATTTAGCATGGTTGGCTACGTACGGTGCGAAATAAGTTCTACATACAGAGACAACAGGGTTATGCGATGAGCTGGCCACATCACCGGCCACGCGCCTTGCCAGGTCCGTTAATTGCTTGCGCACACAGCACTTTAGCTGACGGTCTGTGCACAATGATTGGTGGAGGATCTTTATCCATGTGTGTGTCTGTGCGTGCGTGCGTGTGCGTCCGTTCGTGTGTGTGTGCATGCGTGTGTGCGCGCGTGTTGCAGACGGAGAAGTTCCCCGAGGGTTTCTGGCTGGGAGAGCAGCTGGTTTGTTGGAGACCGGGCAGCACCCCATGGCATCTGTTCCCAAACATATCCCTCTACCTCATGGGGGAGGCCACCAACCAGTCTTTCAGGGTCACCATCATGCCCGCGGTGAGCAGAGCCATTGGGCGTTTTCAAATCAGTGGGGTTGTTTGTCACGTTTTACCAAAGAGACGCGGTTGCCTGCAGTGCCACTCGGAATTCTGTTGCTGTCTGTGATTTATTCGAGATGTGTTACTCGTGGCCCTGGGTGTTTACACAAGTCTAACGATTTGTTTCACTTTGCTGTGCAAGTCTGTCGCGTGGCGTGCCACGAAGTTGGCGGCAGTGCGCGCTGCAGGTTAATGACGCTGCAGCGATGAAGACATGGCCTGTGTACGTTTGTTGTTTGCGTGCGTAAATAACAGTATCATACGCACACAATAAATATGCGTTTAGCAGTGATTAATAATGGAAGTACAAATTTAAAAAAATCATGTGTGTGTTTCTCATGCTTAGACACGCACTGGGTAGTGCTAATCTGCATGTGAAACTTTAAACCAGTGATGGAAATTCCACATTCCTATGAAAAAGGGCAGTTGCTACACTTTACAACCACTGTTGACTTCACACAAAGCGGTACCTATTTTATGCACTCTATGGTTATGATGGACTGTGTTGCCTCCTGCCCAAGATTTGAAATCATCCTGTTGCAACTGGGAGTTAAGAATTCTACCCCATCACCACCAGGTTGTCTCTTATAGATACTGTGTAAACATATTTTCTTCCTTGATTGGCCTTCTACACCTTAAGGATTATTATTGTTTACATCTCCTAGTCTTCTTGGTTCTGTCGGTAAAGTCACGTCGAAGGGAAACAATAAAATAATAATAGATATTTTCCAAATATACAGGTGTCAGAAGGGAAACAATAAAATTATGAAAATATTTTATTGTTTGCCTTATACGTGACTTTACCGAAAGAATCAATAATATAAGTGATATCAAGTTTAATGATTTATTTTCATTTATTATTATTTTATTATTATTTACCTACGTGACTTTACCGATTAAAACCTAAGAGTATAGTTGTATTGGTCTAATTAAAATAATAACACTGCGCTGTGAACCCCACGACCTGAATTAGATTCCCAGCCACGGCTAACGCCAGTGGTGAGTGGCATCAGAACCTCTTCCCCTCTTTATTACCAACCCGTCGCGCTGGCAGGCTTTGGCCAAGTCTCGCAAACAGCCCTGCAGTCACGAAGGCTTTAAATAAAAAAATCTCCTAGTCTATTGATAATTGCATTTCTGTCGAGTTGCCAGCCTCAATGCTCGAGTCCCCTTTAGCCACGATGTTTTTGATTTGACCTGACAGCTTATGTTGGAACTTGCCAGGACAATCGGCCAACCATTGTGAGATGTCTACTGTGTGTGTGTAAGACAGAGTTCCCTCATGTAACACTCTTAGTTGGCACCTATGAAGGCCGGTACAGTACAGGAGATAAACTAAAACTATGATAATTGGTTTTTTACCCTTCTATCTGGCAACAAAACTGACACCTTTTTACAAGGAGTCATGTTTGCATAGACCGCAATACCTGCAGTCATAATACAAACAAAAGAACATAACTCTGATAATGTGCACTGTCCTTGAAGTTGATTGGTCCACACCCGAGACAGCTTTCCTTAGAGCCTAGTCTAGGCTCTAAGTGCGCCTTTTGACGTCATCTAGTCCAACCCATGTGAGACTAGGCTCTAAGGAAAGCTGTCTCGGGTGTGGACCAATCAACTTCAAGGACAGTGCACATTATCAGAGTTATGTTCTTTTGTTTGTATTATGACTGCAGGTATTGCGGTCTATGCAAACATGACTCCTTGTAAAAAGGTGTCAGTTTTGTTGCCAGATAGAAGGGTAAAAAAACCAATTATCATATTTTTACTGGCAAATGAGGTTCCCATAGTGTAAAACTATGAAATTTAACTACTTTTTATTTTACCAGGTAAGGCCTCACTGAGCTATTTCACTCTTTTTCAGAAGCGACCTGGCCACAAATGATAGCTCAACGAAGTGGCTTATCACGTGGAGATTTATCGCGTCCACATTTTTCTAAATGTAGAGGGAAAAACCGGGGGACCCAGAGAAAAATACACGCAATTACCAGGAGAACATGCAAATTCCAAATATACAGGTGTCAGTCGGGATCGAACCCACGACCTCCTGTATACCAGGCGAAGTAGTTAACATCTCGCCACTGCAGCAGTGTGGCAAGCGTCACGCCCGACCGCTTTTGTCTCGCCAGTGCTCATGGTTTATACACTGCACTAGTTATTGATTTAAGGCTGAGTTGATGTTTTCCATGACCGGGAATTAAAATCGGGTCGCCAGGTTCATCACGCAGTGCACTGACCACTATGCCGTTGTTCCCCAAAGTAATGTGACTCTTCTGCTCCCTGCACACATATACACAAGGGTGGTTGCTAAGGCCAGTGTTGAAGGCTAGCTGGTAAGGTCATTGTTGTGGACTACACACACACTACAACAACAACAACGGCTGACATTTTCCACCAGGTGGTAGTGATGTCACCACAGCGCTTGTGCCAGGCTATGTACAATCGGAGGCTATCGCGTGCAGTGTGGAAGGCAGGAGATCATCGGACAGACCCGGTGCTGTGTGTGTAGTCCACAAGCAATGACTCAGATGCTGTGACTTGACTGAGATGAATGACAGACCCACCACCCACGTTCTCCACTGTGTACCAACTTGCTGTGTTTTAGCCGCCCGGCGCTCCGCTCATTGTCGTGAAACAGTACATCACACAACGATACCCCCGTTGTGTGATGTACTGTTATAACAGACTGTTGGGCCAAGTGCTGCTAGCGAGCACCTATTGAGGTGGACACACAAGGGGGGGGTGAGTGCCCGCCACCACGCCCCGACCGCCCTTGTTTCCCTTGTGGCGACTTTTGAACATCGCTCCAGGTACTCATTTGAGGCCAAGTCGACCAAGGGACGAGTTGAGATAATCGTCACCGGTATTGACCGCGAGCGAGAATCGAACTCGGGTCACCGGTTCCGTAGCGCGGCGCGCGCTAACCCCTGCACTGCCGCGCGCCACAATCCATCGCACGCAAACGCACGGCGGCGTGCCCTCTCAACGTTGTCGCCCCCTCGTGCGCGTCGGCCACAGCAATACCTGCGCGCGGTGGAGGACGTGGCGTCGATGCTCGACGACTGCTACAAGTTCGCCATCTCGCAGTCGAGCACGGGCACGGTGATCGGCGCCGTCGTCATGGAGGGGTTCTACGTCGTGTTCGACCGCGCTCACAAGCGCGTCGGCTTCGCCGTCAGCCGCTGCTCAGGTGCGTCGTCGCACCCGCGTGCATCTACGTGCGCACACACCTACGCGCACGCACGTACTTACCGTTACGCCTGTCGCCCAAATTCGTCCCGATCTTGTCTCGATGTTGTCCTTCCCCCCGCACCTCCCGATTTGCACGGTTGGCTACGTACGGTGCGAAAGAAGTTCAACGTACATACACCTCAAGCTAAGCAGGGTTGAGTTCCGATATCACTTCGGTGGGCGACCAAATTGCATAGCTCGCTGGTAGGATACGTCAACAGATGGCAGTGCAGCAAATGCCATTGTTATACCGTACTGTGCTCGCACGTCTATGGTTCCCGCCTTTTGACCATCCCGAACTGACCAACAGTGGTGGTCACATAGTCCCCATGACCTGTACGTTACGGGGAGGCCCTAGAATAGCGGTGCTTTGACAAAACGGGCGGTGCATTTAACCCTTTCCCGTTCCGAGACGTCTGCAAGTTGCAGGGTAGGTCCCGTTCACCCCTGAATCTTTTTTACGCGCAAGAGGTTGGTGTTAAACATTTTTTAGAGAGGTGCAGGGACGCTGTTTTTAAAGACATTGTAATCACCGCAGAGAACTGTAGCGACACGACCACACTCTGATAGCTGGCGCCAAACTGTGCCACATGCTCTCCCCGCGTGGCCTTGGGGGAGCCTCGGTACGGATACATTTATTCCATTTTAGTTTTTCTTCCAGTTTTGTTTTGATGATGTACACGTACTTATGTACGTACACGTACATCATCGGAATGGGAAAGGGTTAAAAACGTTGAACTGTACGGTGCCAAGGCACAAGGACATGTATAATGCTCATTTAATGGAGTTGGCCAATCATATGAATTTAGGGCCACAAAGCCCAGGCAATTGTTGGTGCTGGTTCTGGCCACCTCCCCTACTTGTCTGTTGATTGACGCTCGTCCGTGCAAAACACTCCGCGCGGTACAAATTGTACAGCGTTTTGAGATGCAGTTTGCATGAATGGCGCCTGTGTAATTCAGAATTGTTTTTGGGTCGGCTCACATAAATGATCTGGCCAAATCTGTGTCGTAAACCCCTCCCAACACTCGACACAGCCAAACGAAATGTCGCGCGCACAAGCGCTTAACAACGCGCCAATTATCACTTGCATCAGCTCACGGGTGCATTAAAGAACAATTCTCATCACCAACCGAATCAATTAGCGCAGTGGTTCATAACCTGGGGTGCACGCACCCCCTGGGGGTACGAGATGCCTTTTCTGGGGGTGCGAGACATGCCAGATTTATTTAGAAGTTAAATCATCGAAAACACAAATTAAGCACGGGCACTTAACTACAACTGCTTTGTTTCATCAAACCTATGTATCTATAACTAAATTGTAACGATTGAGAACCAAAGGGGGGGTACGGGCCAGAGGTCGCAAACGGGTTTTGATTCCTTACCCATACCCATGCCCGGCCGCACCAGGGTCGCAAATGGGTACCCGTACCCGTACCCGGCCGGGTACGGGTGGTCGTTCCGTACCCGTACCCAGCCGGGTACGGGTGGTCGTTCCCTACCCGTACCCTACCCGAAATGAGTGACAAACGGCTACACACCAGTGACTCGCGGCCTTACCCGTACCTGTACCCAGCCGCACCAGGGTCGCAAACGGCTACCCGTACCCGTACCCGTACCCGGCCGGGTACGGGTAGCCGGGTATCGGGTAGGGTACGGGTATCGGGTACCCGGTTGCGACCTCTGGTACAGGCTGCAGCAAAGGTTAAGAACCACTGCATTAGCGATACGACATATCGCTTGACACCAAAGCAGCTCTTACAGACAAGGTCCAAGCCAGGAAAGTCGGCATACAATCCAGGAAGTCTAAATAACGACTCGATTATAACTCACAATTGATCTTCATGTTTTTTTGCGTGCTGCTTATTCGCACGCACGCGCGTGCCGGGTTCTCTCCCCCCCTCCCTCCCTCCCCCACCTGCAGTGCGAGGAGGCCCCGGGGACTCCCCCAGCGTGTCGGGCCCCTTCGTGCTGCCCGACGTGAACATGGCGGAGTGCGCGTACAGCGCGGCGCGGCCCGACGAGACGGCGCTGCTCACCGTCGCGTACGTCATGGCCGCCATCTGCGCCCTCTTCATGCTGCCCGTGTGCCTCCTCACGCTGCAGGGCCAGTGCGGCCGCTGCCGGCGCAGGGCTGGCGACGAGCTCACCGACGACACGTCGCTGCTCAAATAGCGGCGGCGGCGCCTCCCCCCCTCCCTCCGAGGAGGAGGGAGACCCTTTGGCACTTGGCCGTCCAGCCCTGTGTGTGTGTGCGCACGTAGCGTACGTTTATACCACGTGGTGTTGGCCACACCCTCGTCCACCACCCATCTCGTGCCAGCCTTCATGGGTGCTTGTTAACAGCACTTGCCTCAACAGTCTGTTAAAGGCTACACGAGGACCTTTGGCTTTGTATATACTGCGTGGTGCTGGCCACACTTCAGTCCAACCCTTCCCTTCCCCACCCCAACCCCCCCCCCCCATCTCGTGCCAGCCTTCATGGGTACTCGTTCACATCACTTGCCCCAACAGTCTGTTAAAGGCTACATGGTTTTTTTTGTAAATACTGCGTGGTGCGTGGCCATACGACCCACTTCGTGCACCGTGCCAGCAGCCTTCGTAGGTGCTCGCTTAACAGCACTTGGTGGTGCTCGAATCTGAATGCCAACAAGTATGAAAATGCCATACTTGGTGGCATTGCAGCGTCTTCCAGTAAGACAACCACTACCGATCACTCAGAAGGGCAAGTACATATTTTACCAAACCTGGAAAGATGATGGGCTGAGTTATGACTTTCTGTCTAGCATTAAAATTCACGACGTTTCCAATTGTGAGGCAGGCATTCTTTTACAGCATCATCTGCCCACATGTATATATATGCGTATGTGTGTGTGCGTACGTGTGTGTATATGTTGCGGGGAGCGGTAGCGTAGCGGTTAGCGCGCTGCACTATGAACCTGGTGACTCGAGTTAGATTCCCGCTCGCAGCCAACACCAGTGACGATTATCTGAACCAGTTATGGGCCTCCCCTAGGTCGACTCACCCTTAAATGAGTACCTGGTGTGGTGTGTAAATATCACCACTGGGGAGACAAAGGCAGTCGTGCGTTGTGCTGGCCACCCACCCCCTCGTGTGCCATGCCAACCTTCATAGGTGCTCACTCACACTTCTTGCCCCAACAGTCTATTAAGGCAATACATGCGATCTTTGTCTTTGTTTATCGTGTGTGAGTGTATGTGGGGAGCAATATCATTGTGGACCCGTCAAGCTAAATGTCATACCCAGTGGTAACTGATATTAAAACCTGGCCAGGCCCTGCCTTGGGCTATGTTTATATATAAAAAAAAATAATTGTACCTCGTGGAGTGTGGTGTTTCACATCTGCAGTGGGAAGACAAAGGTGGCTAATACTTGTATGCCAATACCACCTGTAGCACTGTCTGCTTTATCGGTGCTTGCTGATATAATTTCACTCCACCAAACTGTAAAACTTGAGGGGAGATAATTTTTTACACCGAGATATACACACATGCGTACAAGTGTATAAACTCCATGTAATCTAATGACACTTTATTTAAAAGAAATTCTAAAATGTATTCATTCTGTAATTACATTTTGTAAACTTTGGTCTTTTTAAATTATTTTCATTTTTCTGTCACAAAATCAAAAAAAAAATCCTCATTGTGAAGGCTGAGTTGGAGCCTGTTGCTGTATTTTGTCTGGCTTTATGCGAGCCGGCATGAAAATCAAATGGCCATAAAAATACATTTGAGCATATCAAATAGCTTGGGGTAATCGGCTGAAGTTGCCTTTGGTGTGCAATGCGTTCGGCGTCGGATGAGGAAAACCTACGGAGGCCACCTGTTGGAATACTGTTTTTGGACCGCCTTGAGATTTCTCCAGAACAATTGTCCAGCATAGTTATGGACCAACAGTAAAATGAACGTTGCTTTCATGTTTCCCACAAAATGGCTCGCTGGCAACGAAGGGACCCGAATGAAAGTGAAGGAGTGTTGCAAATCAAACTTGGAAAGACTGGGGACCTGTAAATCTATATTTTTTGGTGGTCAGATAGAAGGAAAATATATTCTTGTGGCTGAATGTGTATAAAATTATTTCAGCAGTTGTAAGCTGGCCAAAGCTGTTTGGACAACTCTAGTAAGTTTGACGTGCGTTATTTTAAGTTGTTTTGTTAAATCAAGGATGGGTGTTGTACCTGCCAATGAAATGGACTTACAGGTCGTGCACATCCCAAAACAATACAATTGAAGAGTTCTGGTTCTCTGTCAACACTGCAGTAGGTTTATCATGAAGTGTTGTGCAAGTCTTTTGTGATAGCTGGGTTTGGATGTTCAGTATAGTATCGCATAGTTTGTAAGTCATTTTCTCTTGGTTTAACTAAAGAGGTGTACGTTTATCAAACTTTTGTTTTAAAAAACATAACTTTTTCCCGGCACTGCGGTAAATATATACGACTTGAAATGGTAAAATGTTAGAATTCAATGTTGATGTTATGTTGATAGTATACTCGACTGATTCATAATAAACAAACAAAAGACAATAATGCTGCCATGGAGACATGGTTAGCACACTAATCTAGAGGTTACCGGTTCGATTTAATCGATCTCTGGTCAAAACGGAGTATAAATGGGTTCACAGTTTGGCAAAAGTGTGGCTATCCCCACCTCTTTGAAGGTGTTTGGCAATCGTGGAAGAGTAGATCAAACTACCTCTCGCGCTCCCTCCAGTGTAGTCGGTCTTTCTGCCAGGATTGGCGTGAAAAAGCAATTGAAGGGCTCCTTCTAATGAACACTAAAAACAAACTAAAATCTGTATCCTCGGTGTACGATGTACACGATCTTCTGTTGCTGCACACGTGTGGCCCAACAAGCTGGGTCTGAGAATCTCAGTCAGCTGTGCAAAGCTGGATGTTACGTGAAGTTATGCCAAAGAGAATTCCCTTCGCTCATTGCCGGACATTCTGCACACTAACAATCTGTGTATTTGTGACAAATAGATGGAAAGTATGTGGTGCTACGCTATGCTAGTGGAAAATGTTTTTTCATTATTTTGAAATTAAATGCCTGTTGTGTATGAAGTTTGAAGGGAAACTTTTGTGTGACATCGCCATATGATTCTATTGTGCAGATATGCCAGCCAGTGACACTCTTCTTAGACAACCCAAGTATTTTTTTTCATGTTGGGACTGCATGTCGAATTCAATGCCACGAATTCAATGCCACGAATTCAGCGCCCCGAATTTAATGCCCGCATTTGCCCGCAGTGGTGAATTTTGAAAGCTGAAGGGGAGAGAGAGAAACGCCCCAGCATGCAGCCCAACACGGACAATCGTACTTAGAATCACGAGCAGCTGTGACAAAACATTTGTGCTAAATAATAAATGAAAAATGTGTTTGTATTCATGAACGGAAATGTGACTGCGCGTGTACCCGAAGGCAGTACAAGCCGTGCTATTGCATTTTCAGTAATGTTTTGTTGATTTTCAATTCGTTGAGTGTGCAAGTTATTCAATGACATTAAAGCATTTAATAGATATTCAGTACTTAGTTATTTTACTTAAATACACAGGACCTGTTTTATAACTGAACTTGTGAAATTGCATTTCCAATTTAGATTTTTGCTTTCTCATCTGCTACCCAAAATCGACTTTTATTTTTTAAAATACATGGTTTAACTTATAGAAATATACATTTTGTTGCACAGTGTGAAGCATAATAACCCGTGTAGGTTGTGTTGGTTAAGCCTAACTGCAAGACACTTGGCTGATCTTGGATGCTCATCTAACTCTTGAGAAAAAAAATCGAAGTACACAATTCGTCTCCACATTTTTCTCTCCACAAGAAAATTACACGTTTCTTTTTTTTACACGTCCCGTTGGCTGCATTGGGTATAATTTCAGCAGAATTTGAACAAAATTGGGTGTAATTGCAGGCAAACTGGAAACCGGTGGAGAATTTCCATTGTTTATATTATCCAAATTGATTCTTAATGATATTGTGACTACTTCACAGCTGACCAAAACATATCTTGTGGACAGAGGTCGCAATCTGGTACCCGATACCCGTACCCTACCCGATAGCCGGCTACCCATACCCGGCCGGGTACGGGTACAGGTACCCGTTTGCGACCCTGGTGTGGCCGGGTACGGGTAGGCCGTGAGTCACTGGTGAGTAACCGTTTGTCACTCATTTCCCAACGTCTTGTCTCTTCTCACGATTCAAGTTCCTAGAATCAACCCACCCGCGCCTGCAACATGGCTTCATCCCAGAGGTCGCAATCGGGTACCCGATACCCGAACCCGGCTGGGTACAGATGAGGAATCAAAACCCGTTTGCGACCTCTGCTTGTGGATGAAGTGGAATGTTTGAATACAAAACCTCGGGCAGTCCAGCTGTTTCCGAGGCTTAGAACCTGAGCACGGCTTTATCTTTCCACTCACTCCAAACTCATTTGCAGCAATATCCGATCCTGTTTGACCACGAGTTTTCAGGCCAACTTGAAGTGCCTTTTTTGTGCATTGATTTATTGCGGTAATAAATTAGTTGTACGCATTGTTGGTATGTTTTGCATCAAATGCACGTAAATTGTTACACGTGTCTCGAGCGACGCGCGGGTTCGGAGTGTGCGATTGCGCGTAGATGCGGCGAATCTTTCTCCCCGTAGTTTGCTCTTCGCTGTTCGAATCCTTCACTCGTGTGCGGCCACACGTGGGACAACCACGTGTCTGGGCTGTGAACCGTGTGCGCGCGCTACGTTGCAGGCAGCTGCTGTCTCGTGCGGGTTTCGCTTTATGCGCCCCCCTTTTTGTTACTCTTAGTTTTTTCGGTAAAGTCGCGTAGGTAAGAAATGAAATTAAAATTAATAAAAAATAAAATAATAAAAATCACGATGTTTCGGAGGCAACACAAGTCTCCGTCATCAGGTGGGACCGTCACAGCCAGATGTGCTGTATCAAGTGCCTCACTTATTATTATTATTTTATTTTTATAAATTTTAATTTCATTTTTTTTATCTACGTGACTTTACCGAAAAAACTAAGAGTATGAATCCTTGCAGTCACGAAAGCTTCAAATCTAGAACCCCTTTTTGTTGTTTGGACACATCTTCCACTACCGCGTGAAGCGAGGGATAAAAAAAAACAACTGCAGTTTGAAACTGGTGGCTGCTGCTTCAATTGCTATGGTTGACTTCTGGCAAGCTGACGCGTCTCACCTTTTAGTTTGTGAGTACTCACAGGCGAGTTGAACAACAGCAGATCACGTGAGGAATTTCGGGAGCAGAATCCAGTCCACAGTTACTCAGTCTTTGGTTGACTAACATCCACGTGTTCCTTGAACATAGCTGATCTGGTAAGATTATCGAGATTTAATTCCCAGTCTTAGATTTGGGGAAAAAAAGCACTGCTATCATATGAACACTGCATTTACATGGATAAGGAACAAATAGGCCTGTTTTATTATTTGTAAGAACGGTTACCTTTGCCAAATTAAAGGTCCGTTTGCAATGTGGCCCTGCCAAACAACTTTGTGCGAATGCCAATTTTCCGGTTTTCTTTGTCTCGCAACTACATATCTCACTGCCATTGCCATGACTGTACGCTGCTTTACTAACAAAAGCTCATCACTCGATTCTTTGAATATGAAGAGCGTTGCATACTCCCCCCCCCCCCCCCCCCCCATATGCACAGAACCAAACGCCTGTAATCAAATACCACAAACTGTAATAAACATTTGATTTGATTTTTAGTTGCCAGATGTTGGAATTGTACAGGTAATTCTAATAACGGTTGTTTGATGTTTTGTATTGTCCTGGTAGTTATCACGTTGTTGGTTAAAATGTTGCTTTTTTTTAATAATGCACTTAAATGAGCATTCGCTACTGGAGAAAGAATGGAAACAAAATAACAAGTGGACTAATTTAGAATTGTCTTCCATTTCATTGTCTTAATTACATAATAAACTTTGGGTACAAACTATTGAGAATGGGACCTTAATTATGCATAAATAACAGTTAAATATTTTCAGACACTAACCTCAACCTATGACCATTAACACTTAAATGAGGCTTTACATTTGTATAACCATTACATAATTTTTACCATTTGCACCGATTAGAACATTTGGCTACGTACGGTTGAAAAGCTCAAAATACATTGGACCGTGCATCATATCATATGGATAATGTATATATTGATAGCATTTGAAAACGTGTTTGTTAATAATTTGCTGCTACAACTTCCAATTTAACCTGATTAATAAAGCGAATCCATTGATTGATAGTTTGAACATTGTAATTGGTTGGTGGCACTGGAAATTGTTTGGTCAGGAGTTTTCAAAAGTTATTCAAGTATATTGGAATATTTAAACCTCTTGGTCACTGCTTCAGAATATTCCAACAAAATAATTTACGCAGCACCCTCTTTGATTTGGATTTGTATCAGAGTTAAAAGGATACTCTGCAACATTCTTCAAAGACATGTACATTTAAATTTAAAACTTGCGTTATTCTCATAGGCCGGAGCAGAATGTCTTCCCACGGGTGGTGGAACATATTTAGCAATACCAGTTTCTATGTATGGTTAATAGATGTGGATTATGTAAGAACATAATTTTTCTTAAGCAAGGTTACTGCACAATTCCCTTGTATTGGTGATTTGAATTTTAGTAAACCTAATGTGTTGCCATCGCAAGTGGCAACAAACAATTTAGATATTTGGTCTGGCCCACCGGGATACAATTGTCAATCTTTGCCGTGTCATATCTTGCCGGGCTGGATTTTAATACTTCGACCATGAGTGCAGAATTTAATGTTTCCAATATTTCCAAGGTTACCCTGAAAAGGGTAACCTTGGAGACATTCTGCAGCAAATGAGAGGCATGGTATGGAACAATGTGCATTGTGTAATAGGGTGTGACTTGTATAAAAGGTTGACAGGTTTGTTCCTTAAGCATTGAGACGTAGTTTAAACCACAAACTCTGAAGATTGCAATGATGGTTCTGCTTTTAGAAGGTGGAGCAGACCGATGGATCGATCCCTGGATTAGCTGCAGATGCAGTTTATTTTGGTTCATGAAGATATTTTTGTTTCCAACGAACGAGTAATTTTCTACTGCCCGTGTCTGTACAAGGGTAAGAGTGCACGCGAGGCGATGTTATATGAATAAAAATGATCATCGTACAATCTATAATCATACATTTTGACAAACTTAAATTTGCAGCTTTCGGGCAGAATTTTATAAGAAAATAAAAGTATCGAATAATTAAAGGAGAACAGTTTGCTATCGATCGATGTGAAAAATAAGTTTGTAAAATAAACCTTTCGGTGAAAAGTGTATTTCGTTTGCTTGGTTTCCTTTGTTGTATTCGTGAAATGAAATATAAGACAAATGAAAATTAAATGCAGATTTTTTTCGTTAAAGTATTTTTCCATTTACAGCAAAACACATTGCGTACCAAACACGTTTAACTGGTGGTCACAACCACAAACGAGAGAGAAATCTCAATGAAAAAAAGTTTAAGACAACGAATTTTTTCACACACTCGTATATATCATTAGACCATAAATGAACGGACTTCAGAAGCAATGTGTTGACTGATATGCCCTCGACACAATGAGATGCACGTACCATTGCACGCCACAACAAACCAGAAACAATGACAGGGAATGATACCTTTATTTGCACCGCTCTTGCATTAACAAAGAGGAAACATACTTTCGACTTTTCAAGTAACTGTTACTTAGCATTAAACCACATGCACTTACCATGGAGAAGAACCATCTACAGTATAAAAAAACAACAATACGTGACGTCAAACTTGCATTGAATCGTTAAAACTTAAGAATTTTTTTTAATCTGCAGCAAATTTTCGTTTTTACTTGATCTGCCATCGTTACACAGGTCCCACACTGAAGCGGACCACGAACGCAACTTGGTTGCATGCAACTGCGTGGCTTGTGTGCAAGCCAGTTGCGAGCAGTTGCACGGGTTGATTACTATTGCAGAGGCACCAATGTTCAAACTTTTTTGGTGACTGCCACTGGCAGCGGTGCACAAGACCAACAAACATCGCATTCGTCGATAACACTGCCCTTAAAATTAAATATACAAAACAGGTGACGTTTCAGGCCAGGGCCCTTCTTCACAGAGCACATCAACAGGCTTTCAAACCGATCTCAACGACGTTTCAGTGACGCATTCCGTTGCGCGCCACGTTTCGTGTTTGCTTTGTGTTGCAATACTCTTAGGTTTTTTCGGTAAAGTCACGTACGTAAAAAAATTATAATTAAATAATAATAAATGAAAATAACCAAATTAAATCACGACGTTTCGGAAGCAACACAAGCCTCCGTCATCAGGTGCAACTGCTCCAGTAAAATTGCTGTAGCGTGTGAACAGGATTTTACCGGAGCAGTTACACCTGGTGACGGGAGGCTTGTGTTGCTTCCGAAACGTCGTGATTTAATTTAGTTATTTTCATTTATTATTATTATATTTCATAATTATTATTTTTTTTACCTACGTGACTTTACCGAAAAAACCGAAGAGTATGAATCCTTGCAGTCACGAAAGCTTCAAATCTAGAATTGTGTTGCAATGTCACGTTCCACTGGAATTCCCTTGGCGCTCAACTGCTCGCTCAGACGCAGTGGCCGGTGGGGGCAAAGCAGTTGCAAGGGCTACGGTCGATTCGGGTCGCTCAAAGCTGGCTTTTCGCTCAAAGCTGGCTTTTAGCGTCCCTCTGACACCGTTTGGGTCACAACCAAACGTTCGCGAGCACAGGGCAGGGGGCCGAGCGAGCAACGCTCCGCTCCACAATTCACGAGCGAGCATCTGTCGACCGCCCCGGAGTGACAACACAGAGGACCGAGCGTAAAGACTCTGATGGCGGTAACACAATCGAGGCGAGGGGTCTGTCGAACAGCGTAACACTGCGAGACTGTTTCCATCGGTGAGATAATGACGAAGAGTGGGAAACTGTACTAAACTCCACCGATTCACGGGGGGGAGGGGTGGAAATTTATTCCCAGATCCTGTAATTCGCGGTACACCGCAAACAATAATTCCTCTCACCATTGGAACCTCCTTTGCCAGTAGCAAAATATGATAATTGGTTTTTTACCCTTTTATCTGGCAACAAAACTGACACCTTTTTTTACAAGGAGTCATGTTTGCATTGACCACAATACCTGCGGTCGGAATGGTATTGTGGTCAATGCAAACATGACTCCTTGTAAAAAAAGGTGTCAGTTTTGTTGCCAGATAAAAGAGTAAAAACCCAATTATCAATAACTCCTCTCGTTCACGGAGAAGTGCGATTTTTTTTTGTATGAGACGCGCATCGTGTGGGCACGGCGAATGTCTAGGATTTGCAGATTGGAGGGCGGATGTGGAGTTTTCACCGTGCATATATTCTCTAGGGATGAGTTTAAACTAAAAATATTACGGATATCCGATGCCTTGCATTCTATAATAAATGTGCGTGTCGTCTGGCCCTAATCAAAGTGACAACAGTTTTGGTGGCAAAAGCGCTTACACATTACCTCACCACGCCAGCGTGCGACGGTCGCTTGCACGTCGAATATATATATTTTTTATCGGGACCAAATTTTAGGATTACTCATAAAAAACATAAACAAATCCCTCATTCTAATTTAAAAATTAAGTTGACAGCTTTGGTAGGTTGTGTACGTTTTCGTTTTCGATGGTGTGCATTACTCCCAACATCAAAATCTGCCATGCTTCACCGACGTTGTCACCCTTTGGATCTTTAAAATGTTATTTTGATAACGCTCCTTTTAACCCAGGAAAGCCCCACCGGAGTCGACACGATTTTTTTTTTCCAGGAAGGTCCTGCCAGGTTTTTTTTTCAGCAGCAGCAGCAGGGGTCAAAGATTGCTGTGTAAGTAATACAATATTCCAGTGGGGCCCAAGTGATGTTGAGGACATTTAGACAACTCACACCAAACCCCGATTTTGCCAAACCTTCGGAGACCCTTTCCTGCTTGACCATCATACCCATGATGACGACTTATCAATCAGAGCATGCTTCGCTATGTGCAGCAAACCGTCCACTTCTCTACAAACTGATAAGACTCGTTTCACCAGCATCCTCACTGAGGTTTCGCTATCCGAAATGTAATAACCACAGTGCGTAGCGATTAAAAATAAACTGGAATGCATAGTTGTGAGAAAGGGATGATGATCATGATGATAATGGTGGGCCGATCGTCTAGAACAATGACGGAATGGTAGCCAAGGAATGGAACGCATGTGAGGACGTCTACAGCGGAGATGGAGCGGTTGAAATCGGCTGGTGAGCAGGACTGTCACATCTCAGGATCGTGAGAGATGGTGGCTGATGATGATGACGACGCAAATTATCTCACTGGGGTGACTTTACTTTTGTGTTGAGCGAGCAATTGTGTGGTAACTAATTTACTTGGAAGTGTACATTTTAATGCAGTCACATAAATCGAGATGCATTTCCTTCCACTAAGCATCTTACTCTTTGGTTTTTTGAGTAAAGTCACGTAGGTAAAAAAATAAAATAAATGAAAACGAAATTAAATCACGACGTTTCGGGTGGGAAAGCATGGTCTGCTGCTGATGCAGACTGTTTTAAAGGTTTTAAATGACTGTAGCCCATAACCTTTAGGCTACACTCATTAAATGTATTTTGATTACGCTCTTTTTACCCAGGAAAGCCCCACCGAGTCGCTTGTGTTGCGCCCGAAACGTCGTGATTTAATTTAGTTATCACTTATTTTATTTTTTACCTACGTGACTTTACCGAAAAAACCAAAGAGTATGAATCCTTGCAGTCACGAAAGCTTCAAATCGACCACTAAGCATCTTCTTCAAACCTGTTTTAATGAATGGAGACCATCTACACCATTGGGAAAAGATATTCATGAGGTTCACAGTCCTGATAATTTCACTGAATGCAAAGACATTGGAAAGTAAATTAAACGTCCAACAAAACAATATTACGGCCTTAATTAGCTTCTGAAAAAATCTATTAATAAAGGTTAAATATTATTAGACAAATACTATCTCTTAATTACAGTTTTAGAACCAAAATAACACTCAGATTAGCAAAGTATTAAAATGTAATGATGACACAAATGGCTGTGCTCATGCAACTTATGACCTTTATTTCAAGAATATTTAAAAATATATATTTTAATTGGTTTTCTTGAAGGTTAGAATCATTAGACTGTGTTATGATGCTGTGAAAATAAGACTGGAGATGACTTTGTGGCAAGTAAATTCATGGAACTGTTGCCCTCACTTTCACATAGGTGATGGCTGAGATACACTGGTCAAGAATTCAAACTGTGATGTGTAATTTGAAAAAACCCATTAAGATACTATGTTAGCAAATACATATGACATGAGTAATATTAACTCATTCATGAGGCAACAAAACGTGTTTTTACGTTAAGCTTACTAATTAAAGCCAACTGTCTTGCCAATCGCTTAATCGTAGTATATACACGCAGAAAGGCGCACACATACGTACACTACAGTACTATTAGGAAACAACCACACACACACACCTATACACAGTATATATAGAGTGAGAAAGCGATATACTGCAGACGTGTCGAACAAAGTGTGAGGACAAGGTGTAAATCGTTGCCAGGTAACCGGTTAAAAACTGGTACCCGAATACGGTAGCAGTGAAATAAATACAATCGTGTCACGGATGCCTTCAACTTGCCTTTCCCTTCTTTTAAATGACCCCACTCCCGGCTGTCATTCTTCCTCGACCCCGCCTGCAATAACAGCAAGGGCCATTCGCTGCAGACTGACGCGTAACAGTACTGTGACCTACGTACGGCGCGAAAAAAGTTCAACGGACACACACACACCGTAGCTGTCAACCCATACGGTTTACCCCGTATTCTTGTACGGGGAAATTGTGTTCAGATCCATACGGCGGCGTACAGCCGTTTCAATACGGGCCAACAAAAATGTGTCTGTTTCATGATATCTATGTGTTTGTGTTTCTCCCTTGTGATGGGACTTTGGTTGATGAACGTTGAGATGTATAAGGGGCACGGGGTGACCAATAAGTATTTTGTTGGTTTGTAATAAGGTGGGCACTGATAAGGGGTTGACGGGTATGATAAACGGACTCTTAATTGCTCCAAACACACGATTTTCAGTCACATAATCGAAACTGTAAAAAATATATGGCTATGGGTGCGTTGAATGAAAAATAATAATAATAAAAAGATGCGTATTTTTGCTACAGTTAAGAAAGGGTCAACTGTCATGGCTATTCTCTAACAAATGACAACAGAGTTATTGAATACACAGTAAGG